ATAAACAGCACGTACAGCACATATTCTTAAAAAAAGAAGCTGTGAAGACTGTAGTCCACTAACAGAAGCTTGYAAAAAACTAAAAAAAARGAAAACAAAATGTCKTTGGKCATTGGATTGACTATGCAACCAACAAAAAAATTCCMCTTTAGTAAAACRGTYAMAGAAAGAGGGAGAAATCTATTTGAAAAAAAACATTTTATATTTCTAAATGAAGAAATGTTCAAATGTTCTTGTATGAAAAAAAACAAAATGTACCTATTTAATAGCTGTTCATCCATTTGAAGACTAAATCTACTTCCTGCCCACAAAGCCTGACCAATTAAGAAAGGAGACACTGTAAAAGAAAAAAAAGAGATAAAAATAATATATTAATTCATATAATAATAAAATATTAATAAAAAAAAGAAGAATTTACAAAGAAATGTATGTGATTAAAAAAATCTGGAAAGAAAAAAAGATTCTTGAAGTCCTCTTAAAACAACGTTTGTTAGAAATGACACAAAAAAAAATCTGGATATTTTATCTGTTACAAGAGACTTGACACAACCCATGGCTAAAAAAAATGACTCATGGATCTTCCACCTGATTAAAAATAGTAAAACTGGACTAAAAAAAATGTGCTTTCTTAATGTTGTTGTCTTTCTCTGCTATAGTTGGGCAAAAAAAAAAGGCTCAACATGGAACTTACCAATTTGTGTCACCTTTTTGCCTTAGAAAAAAAGCTTCTTCTACATGTTTCATGACCGCTTTTGCTAATGTGAGTGCACAAAAAAATTTAAACTCAGCTGAAACTGCCTATAAACAAATACATACTGTATTGAAGAGCAACAAGGAGTACAATCTGTGTTTTTCATTAAACAAACAAGCTGTCATAAAAAAAATATACACATCTGTAAAGCATGCAGCTACAGGGTTATACTCTTTTGAAAAAAACAAATTCYATTACTTTCCATGACTTTTCCATGRTTTTCAATGACCAAAAAAAAGAAAGTCCACTTCATTAATACAAKCACTTCATGCATGTGATCTTCAAAAGGTTGCAGTACTTACAAGCAGAACGTCCTGAGCCGCAATGCGAACAGAGTAAAAAAAKGTATCATCATCTTCATCTTCAACAAACTGATTTGGATTTGATGTCAAAAAAAGAATCTTGAAGTAAAACAAAGGAGCTATTAGCACAGACCATCATTAAAAAAAAATAATTATTAATTCAACAACAACTTTATTTCCACACTACAAGTAATAAAAAAAAGAAGTATTCAAGAAATCAAGAAAAATGATCAAATATCAGAATGATAAAAAAAGAAAAACAGTAAATAAGTTTTTTTAATGCAATGATAAATCAATTGAAAAAAAAGTTTTCTTGGGAACCTAATAAACTTAATTCCATAGTCGACTCTAGCAAAAAAAGCAAGCATCACAAAGAATCACGGGCTTCCTGTCTTGTTTGGGAGTCAAAAGAGGGAGAATGGGGCCGAGAGAGCTCGTCACTAGTCCCTAACGGCCATTATGACCGTTACAAAGGAAGCCCAAAGGAGGAAAAAAGGAGTTGCCTGGGGAGGAGGCTAAGTTGACTCCTTGAATTAATAAATCTTCATCAAAGTCTCTATACTACAAAAAAAACTTCCCAATTATTGGTATAGCGGTATACGAGAGGGTTTTAATCATAAATTAATTTTAACATTAGCTAGAAGCATATTTTTAGGAATTTTAATTTCAGATTTCATTCTACAAGAAAGGGCTTACTAACATTAACATCAGTATCAATATTATTATCATAATAATGGATATCATCACTTTTGATCAACAAACCTGTTCTTCTGTGATAAAAAAATACAGTAAAAGAAAATAAACCAGCTCATCAAGGGATCTTTTTACGACTTTTTTAAATTTTGGTGACTCAACTAAACCATGGATAAACTCAAACACTCCAAAAAAAAGATTCTCGAATCCCAAGACCTCCCCTAAATATAACAAAATATCTAAAAAAAAATTTTAAAAGGGACACTGTCAATGGATGACATGCGCAGTAACAGTCTAAAAAAAAACGGACTTTGATAGCATTACCTTCGAGGTAAATCATTTTGTGGTGAAAAAAACACACTTTGGAATATTCTGTTTACGTTTACGAGCTGATTTATGTCGAAAAAAATTGGAGTCATAAACTTGAAAACACTAGCCTAGTGTTTTCAAGTTTAAAAAAAAATGCGTGCCATTGACAGTGTCCCTTTAACTAACAGACATATTATAAAAAAAAAAATATTTTTTTTTCTTCTTTAACAATGTTTAGTTGTAGTTTTCATGAAAAAAATAGAAACAAAAAATGAGATATGAAATAGGAATTGCTAGAAAAAATGAAAAAAAAAATGGGAGAGCAAAAGGAAATGGATGGAGTAATGAGTATGGGCAAAAATAAAATTTATGTAATAGGAAACACCAGAGAAACTTATGAAAAAAAAAACAAAAAAAAAATCAACGCAAATGGAAACTGGTAGTATGGTGGGAAATGAAAATAGAAAAAAAAACACCCATTTTACAAAGGAATAAAATTTGAAGTTTGTGATCAGTTAAAAAAAGAGAAAAAAAGTGGGAAGAAAATAAGAAAAGAAAGTGGGAAATGTGAAAAAAAAGTAAAATTAGACTGGAATTGAAAAAGCTTAATTATTTAGGAAACTAAAAAAAAATTGTTTTGACACAAATTCATAATATTAGGAATATGCCTGAAGCAAAAAAAATTTTGTTCATGACACACTAACCATCAGAATCGACAGGATCTTCTGAAAAAAAAGTGTCGTTTACTACAGTTTTAACATATTTCTCTGCACTTTGTGTTAAAAAAAACCATACATGAGGAAGAATATTACCAAGATAGGCACTCATTTGTTTGAAAAAAATCTTGACTAATGTTGTAAGAGCCTAAATCAAGAATCTTTAAATTATAAAAAAATATAAAGTTCATTTTCATGTTCTTTTTTTCTCTCTGCATTATTTTATAATCCACTCCCATGTATTCCAAAATTCCATCTGAGGCAGACGTTCTATATCAAAAAAAATTTCCAWGRTGGTGGAGCTATTTTTTTTATGGGCCATGGGTTAATGAAAAAAAAAAATAGTAAATAGCCCCTAGTCTCATAGATATGCTGGTAGCCTCCAAAAAAAGAAAAAAAAATGAGGGTATTAAAAACCCTTTCCTCCTGCAACAAGAAAAAAAAAGAACCATTTAACGCTTTTAATTTCGGAAGCACGCTTTCACAACTAAAAAAAATCACAGTAAAACCTCCCACTCCCTGTAAATCAACCATCAACCCCACAAAAAAATCTCTGCCARCCCATTAATACTATGACCTATTTCCTGCATTCACCTAAAAAAAATCCATTTTGAGACCACAATCAGATGTTAAACTATCAGGAGTTGCCAAGAACTGTGTAAATGCTTGCACAAACTGAGGRAGGACTGGAAACAAATACTTTTCTGGTGCATCCTTCACAGAACAAAAAAACAACAACAAAAAGTGCATCGTTATACAGAACTATGAATTGTCAACTTTGTACTATTTATACACTTCTAATAGTAGTAAAAAAATAGTGTAATAGTCTTAAGTCAGTTCCTTTTCACACCCTCAAAATACAAAAAAAACAAAGAGCATTTGCAAAAAACTACATTCAAGAATTATTATGACAAAAAAAAAATTTGCAACCAGAGAACTATTGTAAGTAGATGATCTTCCACTCACCTACTCCCTCGCTCATTATCCTGTAAACTTTCAATTGTAAATATTTGCTATTTCAAAAAAATAAACACGTGTATGATCGGATGGAAATTGAACACTCTTACTGTTTTAAAAAAATTTTTTTTCATGCTCACCATAGTTGTCTTCATTTTTGAATAAATAAAAAAAAATTAAATTTACATTTTCCTGCAAGTTTCTTACTCTTTCATGTTCTGCAAAAAAACATATAAGCCCTGCACAGGTATTGAAGATATCAACTGCTCTTGACCAAAAAAATATTGTGTAAACCTAAAAACAAAGCGGACTGAGTGAGCACCGGAATAAAAAAACTTTCTGAAATAACCCTCAGATTTGTGGCACCAAACCTTACCTGATAAAAAAACAATATTTTGTACATTTCTGGAAGAATAACTGGGGCGACTTGTGGTATTTGAGTATCTGTGACTTCTCTACAAAACTCTGATAGCAATAAAATCATACATCTCAACAATGTAGATTGAATATAATACATTTTGCCTTAATTGTTTTAGTTTGAAAAAAATTTAGTTAGTTTGTTTTTCCTATTTTGCAAAAGACAGGAGACTCTTAAAAAAAAACTGAAAGAGCAAGCCAATGAAGAAAAGATTTTGCCCTGGCATACATGAAGTACTATACAAAAAATTGACAGAGTTGATACAAAAGCAAGAAGTATATCTATTGCACACATTTCATACTCAACTGGGTCCCATGATTTATTACCTGTTAAAAAAAAAATAGCACCATGTACCAGGTCAGCATTGCCACTAGTTAAYGCTGCCATAAAAAAACCAAATAATTCTGGCCAAGCGTCTGGCCAGTCCCAGTATGCAATAGCAGATATAGCATATGCCTAAAATATACCATGTCAGTATTAGTATAATTGGAATAAAAAAACACTTGTTATTTTCCCATTTAAGTCTCTATTTTAAAATTATTTGGTAAAAAAAAAGTGTGAATAAATTATCTGCTGAAAAACGTTTGTATGGAAGTTATAAAAAAAAGTTGGTAGAATTATTTGCTCTTTGTTCAACCAGTCCCTCCCTGGAAAAAAAATGTAGTAAAGTGCAATTCAATGAAGGATTTGTCAGCCCAAACTTCCAAAAAAAAGGATACTAGAAATACCTGGCTACTCAGGCTAAAGATTTGTCTTTAAAAAAAATACAAATGCTATTATTCTTAAAATTGAAAAGAAACATCACACTGATAAAAAAAGGATATAAACTGTAACCTTTATTGGAGGAATAATGGTTTTGAGATTAAAAAAAGCAAGATTATAATTACTCACAACACTTGATCTGACTTTACTAATAGAAAAAAACAATCCTGCTGGCAAAAGTCTTCTGATTGCTGCCTTTGCCTAATGTAAAAAAAAAGTTAATTTTCCGTTTTAAAATGGGCAAATGAACTAATCAATGAGAAAAAAAAAAAATAAAAATAACTGAGATCTCAATGACTAAATGAACAATGACTAAAAAAATTAAAAAATGATTATAAATGAATAAATCAATAGATTGATAAATCAAAAAAAAACAAACAAGCTTATGCAGACTAACATAAATGAATGAAACAAATGAATAAAAAAACGAATGACAAATATATCAATAAATGAACAGATTAATAAATCAATAGAAAAAAAAGTACAAACTAAATATAAATAAAGGAAACAAATGAATGAATAAATGAAAAAAAAATGCATAATAATACTAGTAAATGAATGAACAAACTAGACATAATTAAAAAAACATAATTAAGGCCATATGCCTTGCAGCCATTCTTAGGGGYGGGCTCAAAAAAACCCCGCAGCCCGCCTGCAGTCTTCTCCATACAAAAAAAGCATTATAAAAAAAAATATGATATTATAACTATTGTTAGACCAAGACTTACAGGTTCAGTGATTTCAGGTGGATGGTACTTTTCCGATTCTTGTGACCAATGAGCTTCTACATAAAAAAAAAAAATGACTGATGCAAGCTGGGAATGTATTTAAAAAAATATGCTTAAAAAAAACTAGCTATACATTATAAAGTCATGCTAATAATTTAACAGATGTCAAAAAAAAACATTATACTAGACAACAACAAGATGGTCCTAGATAAATAATTTTGAGGCCATTTCAACAGCAGGATGTGACTTTGTTATTGGAAAACCCATGCATTCACAGCTGTCTGATTTCTTAGCTGCTTCTGAGGACATCCTCCAGAGCCTAAGGTCAAAAAAAAATCTTATCCATCATTAGCTGATTAGATTAAGAGCAAATAATGACAAAAAAAAAAAGGGATGAAATAACCATTCAAACAAAACAAAACAAAAAGAATGAAAAAAAAAGGAAAAGGGAAAAGCAAAACAAACAAAAAGTGACAGAAATGCATAGAAAAAAAAGTTCTACCTGTCTGATGGCTAATGCTTCCCTTTGATCGATGATTAGTTCAGCAAGATGTACACCAAATTCTAAAAGCATCCAAGAAAAACATTTACACAAAAAAAAAGGAAAATACAAATGAAGCCTATGATGTATAAATAAATTTCTAGTAAAAAAAGATCAAAATAAATTCCCACCTTGCGCTTGTTATTTCAGTGACTTAAAAAAAAAATCGTCTGAAAGGTACTCACAAAAATTAACTTAACTGTACGTGATGAAAAAAATAATAAACTTCATGCAAATTTTATGATGTSAAATTATCTTCAGCATAAAAAAAAAAGACGTCTGCATTTTGCAGTCTACATCACTATGGATTGCTTGTTAAAAAAAGGTCAATAAGGTAATAGTGTGAAGAAGATCTCGTGTTCTTTGCCATAAAAAAACTCAATCGTGCAAAATCATGTACATTTTGTAAATTTCATGTGTACAAAAAAAAGTAAAGTTGTGAAAGTTTATTGAATTTATCAGTAAATCCTGACGATAAAAAAAACCTTCTGTAACTTCCAATACTTTAAGCTGATCTTCTCCCATCCGTCTAACATTCTGGTCGGCAGATAAGATGGCTGTGAGACTTTCCAGTAGGGTTTCAAAAAAAGATTGGCTTCTTTCACTTGCAGACGCCATTTTGAATTCGAATCTTGGCTCGCGCGCGCATGACAATCAAATATGGCGGGAAATTTTGAATCAGTATCACAAAAAAATGAWTATTTTTTTCTCTTTTGTTCCTTTTTTCCCTTGTCCGTCTGTGTTTATGTAATTTTCAACTCATTTTAAATTTGTTCAGTGTAAAAGCAAATAWAAAAAAAAAAGAAAATAGACGCGCACAAAAACACAGCAAACATTGATTTTTGACAAGCTATGCTGGAGGTCTGAATTGTCAGCTACTGCCGTAGTAGTCTTAGCTACGGGATGTCGTCTGACATTGAACTGTTTGCATCATATTTTGTTAATGACCGAAAAAAAAAAGTTCTTTTAATATTTTGACAAACTTACAGAGCAAAATGATAGAGGAAAAAAAAGACAATTCATATAATTCTGGCCAACGCAGTGTTAGTTTTCGGAATGAAAAAAATTATATGTTTCCAAATGAGGAAAAGCAAAAAAAGGTATTTAGAGACAAAAAAACAATTTGTAAACATGCCAAAAAGGTRTTATAAATTTAATGCTAGGAAAAAAAATGGCGACCTGAACACTCTTTCATTTTAATGTAGCAATTAAAACGAAACTCAAGAACAGGCCGGAAAATTCTAAACTGCTGATTAAAATTTACAAAGTGAAAAAAAAAGCAAATTTGCTATGTGATGAGCAGTAGGGTAGGGGAGGTTGATATAAAAAAATTTCAAATAACGTTTCAACCAATCAGATTCCAGTATTGGTAATCCTAAAAAAATTATTTGGTAGCGGCGCAAACATTTTTAAGCGCGCGGAACGCGGGGTTTGTCGCAGCGCTGACTGAATTTTATCTTTTGATCCTAAAAACTCTTCACGAAAAAAAAATCCTTCACGTTATTAGTTTATTTCATGTCGTTATGGTATTTGTGTAAAAAAAAATGCTTGTTTCGGCATTGCTTTATTTGTCAAACAAGCTCAAAGCCTTGGCTTTGAATGTCTCGGGCGAAGAGAGAAGACGAGGAGTCTATTTGACGGAAAAAAAACAGGTGAGCGTTTCTTGTTACACCGGGTCAAGGTTTACATATCCTTTTCCTAGTTTTTCCTTTACGACACATGTTTTTATTGACCTCTATCGCTTCTTCTATCCAAAAAGTTGTGCAAATGATCTCTCTTTGCTTTCTTCGCCAATCTACATAAAAAAAAAGTCACTCTCTCTGAACAATCACATCTGTTTTCCTTGCAGAATGCCCTCACAGATCTTTGTAACGCCAAAGATCTTTTGTCATTTACAGTTTCAGCTGAAAAAAATCTTCGCTGTTTGTTGCCTGAAGCAGTAAGTTGAAGTAATTCTTGCAAAAAAATATGAGACTTGTGTTTATTTACTTGTTGCTCTATCCAAGCCGTCCTTGTCTTTGTGGTCCAGTTGTCTACACACTTTTACGGTCTGATTGCTTTACTATTGAAAGTCGTTTTGGTATAATTACTGCAGGTTCCCTATCAACCGTCTATCTTTAAAAAAATGTCTCCCAAAAGAATTCTCTGCCATTTTCAAAATGATCAGTTTTGAAAAAAATTGCGAGCGTACATGAAGTGTGTAGTATCTGCAAGTTTGACTTGCGAAAAAAAGTCAAATATGAAGTAAGATTTTTTCTCACAAACGCTTGCCTAAAATAAAAAAACGAATTATTAAATGTCGATAATTTAGTTAACAGAAAGATATCGCAGTTAGTAATAATTTACTTGTGTGTTTTTTAGCTATCGTCTCCAATACTGTAAAAAAAAAAACATTAAGTAAGCTTAAAAAGGATCTTTTTGAAGTTGCAAAAAAGCAAGCAACACGAAGAAAAAGCATATTTATCTGATATGTTTTATGCTGTATATTGAATATATTGTTCCTAATAATGAAATCGTTAATAAAATGTGTTTTTTTTAACGAGAAAAAAAGCCGAAGTGTTGAAATACATACACAAAATAAGCATTTGTTATTGTAAAAAAAAATGCAAAAAAACAATAAAACAACACGTTCAATGCTGGATTTGAAAAAAAAAAACAAAACGATTTGAGGGTGGTCCGTTGGTTTAAAAATGTCACATCCCAAAAAAAAGATTTATTGTTTCAAAGAAAGTCAAAGAAAGCAAAAAAATCGAATGTTGCCTTGTCATAAGACGCTTTACAAGTTCGTTTCTGAATCGTTTTTCAAAGAAAAAAATATAATCCGATACTACAAAACGAAATAAAAATAAGCAATATCTTAGTTAATGATACCAAGGAACTATATCGAGAAGACAGAGAGAAAAAAACAAATTGTAAAAAAACAAGCAGGATCAAGATGCTGATGTACATAACTAGAGCAACTAAATTTTAATTGACAAATTACGTTTTTTATCAGATTTTTTCCAAATCATTGGTCAGTAAAAAAAAATTCAACAACACACCAAGCTGTTTCTATCTCACCACAAATCAGATTTTGTCCTTGTTGTTCAAGTGGCAACCATCAAGATGTGAATATACTAACTGGATAAAAAAATTTCTTTGATGCACATTTTACATACATGACAAATAAAGTATTTTGGAAGCAATCAGTATGATTTTTAAACCTCTTAATATAAGATGTGAGTATTGACTTTGTTTTCAAGTACCTGCATTTCTGACAATAGAGGTGACAGCGAGAAAAACACAAAAAAAAGATAACATGACAATCTGGCATCAAATTGAAAATATCTCTTACTCCTAAAAAAAATATGCAATTATTACTTCAGTTTGTTATACAGATTGCTTATACTGATATATGTTGTTTAAATTGACGGCCAGTAGGCCCAATTAGCAGGTGTGCAACACAAAAAAAGTCCACTGACGTCAAACRTAGATATAATGTTGTCTTGGTCTATTTTGTTCTAGTGTGTATTGGCCAAAGGGGAAATAATTGAATTCTGTCAAATTGTCTTTCCTTGGGGTGTCAAGCTATTTAATAATTCACTAAGCTGAAGAGTGTTCAATTTGCATAAACATCAGCTTTTGGTTGTTTAGTAAGGCTGGAAGTTACAGGAGACAAAAAAAGAAAAGAAATGCCTTCTTGTCATCAGATAAATAATGTCTCTTAAATGTTATCAATCCTAAATTGCTGTGTACAGTAAATCATCCACACAGAGAGCAATGAAAAAAAACACATTTGTGGATAATAAAAAAAAATCAGTCACTGATCCCTTTAAGCCTATTTCAAAATAACTGGCTATTTACCAGGTACTTTGAATAAATTAACCACATGCAGACAATACCTTTGATTTTCACACTTTTGAAAGCATTGTATCACATATATTTTAGTCAAAACAGGACATCTCCTTGAAATTAATGCCCTCAATTATCACACATTATCAACTCATTTCACAAATTATTATGGTAAATCAAGTTGTTGGTTTATGCTAAAAAAACCTTTAAGCATAGATAAGCTGTGGCCATTAATCATGTATTTAGTATAAAAAAACCATAAGAGTGCCAATATAATATCTCTTTTTACCTGAGCATTAGTGTTAATGATCTATAAATATAAATAATCTTGATTATTGAACAAATCTATTCCAAAAAAAAAATGACTTAAGTACTATATTGTGAAAAAATTGGTTGTCTACCATACCCAAAAAAATTATTAGTAAAAGTAAAGATTTAGCATAACAGCAAAATAATATATAAAAGTTTAATACTGTTGGAAGGTGTGCAAATAGTGGCCGCATTCAGTTTTTGAAAAAAAAATTGTATACCAGTGTACATTATACTGAATATTTGATTTGCAATAAAAAAAAATACAAAACGTATGTATTTTGATCAAATACAAGAAATTTACATCAATAAAAAAAATTGTACAAGAAATTCAATGCAGATAAGCTGAGAAACATTTCAGGAAAAAAAAAAATTTAACTTAAGATTCAAAATCAATGATTGAGCATGATATGATTAAAAAAAGGCTTTGTATTATTTTATAAATTTATAGAACT